CCAGCAAGAAAATATCTTTCTAAAGAAGGCCAGTTCTAAAAGGTCCTTCCTTAGTAAGTAGGGGGAGATCTGGTTTCTTGAGAAGAAGGCAACGTTTCGAAGGCCCCCCAGTTATGCGAACTCTCAGGAACAGTTGCACAGCCAAGGAAAAGATTAAGGAAACCATAAGACTCAGAATTGTTTTATGACAATATGACATTTCCAAAGGATTGAGGTGTTGTGACCTAGGCTTCCCGAGTCATTAAAACACACCAGTAATCCCAAAAATCTCTTTTATTGCAACAGCTGTGAATTACGTTCATTCACAGCTGAGTCCCAATTAGTTGCAAAAAGTCCTTCGGGATAACATGCTTTGACATGCTGCCAAAGACCTACTTGGCAAAGCCACACGGAGTCCAGAATCAAACAGAGATGCCGACTGGGAACAGAATTAACAACGTTGCTTTCCTGCAAAGTGCCCACATGCCTTTGCTCCTCTTTTTAGCCTTATGGGAGGGGCCAATCATCTCGCTAGAGAATTCCTGGTGTGTGTGTGTGGTGGTATTCCACAATTTTGGCCACTACTGTGAATACGTATAACATATTCTTTGTTGCTTGCTTTCTGGACCGTCGTTCAAGCATGTTTTCCTATAATATATTTAGACTACTGTTATAGTCAGTGGCTTTACATGAGAGTTGGTCAATCTTGGGAGAAAAAAAAAATTGCGGGCATCACAACCTCATTGGATTGCGATTTATTTCGAGTGTTGCAACCTTCTGTGCAGATTGACTGCATCGCTGAAGATGTGACGGTAGACTGAACGTGTTACATTTCGCATCAGACTCTCTTGTCTGGTGTGAAAGTGTTTTATTATCTCTGGGGTTCTGTCTGGATCTTTGTTGGCCGAGGTCTTGATCTGTGTTTTGTTGTAAATGAGACAACTTAGTCATCCTTTTGATGTTGGATGACTCAGAGTGGCACTAAATTCCTTTCCTTTCTCTATTTTCATGTTGTCAGGCTCTGACAGAGAAAGTAGGTGAATGGGCATCAAAGCTTGACTGACAGGTCAGTCATTCTAACCAAATCGGTCTACCCAAAATCACCAGTTTGGAAAGGGATGCAAATAGCAATAGGACTTAGACTTATATACCGCTTCACAGTCCTTTACAGCCCCCTCTGAGAAGTTTACAGAATCAGCATATTTGCCCTCCACAATCTGGGTCCTCATTTTACTGACCTCGGAAGGATGGAAGGCTGGGTCAACCTTCAGCCGGTCAGGATCGAACTCCTGGCAGCAGGCAGAGTTAGCCTGCAATAACTGCTTTCTAACCACTGTGCCATCACGGCTCTTTGCGTCTCTCAGGGATCAAAAGGGCAAGCACTTCTGCCCTTAGAGAAGTTGGTTTCTCAAGAGTTGCAAAACATCTGGATGACCTTCCAGTTTGAGTTCTAGGGAAGCTGCTTTTCTTTCAGATGGCTAAGAGTTGGTGACTTTTAATTACTTCTCTAATCTGTCTTTTGAGGCCACAGGGTTTGTTAATCATCTCAAAAGCTTCTGTCTGCAAGGCCAATTAGGAGAAAAATGTTGCCTCAACAGAGTGGGAGTCATCCTGGCCTTCGGTATTTGCGCAACTCTGTAAGGATTTATAAACAGGGAAAGGAGTAGAATGGTATGTAGGAATGGCCTTGAGAGGAGGAAGAGCCACAGGCTAGACAATAATTAGATAAGAGGCAGCTGAGACCAGAGAAGGAATCGGGACATGGTAGAAGGAACCCTCACTAGTTTCTTGGACTGTAAAGGTGAGGGGGTGGGGGAAAGAGATTTCATATTTGCTTTCTTTCAGATTTGCGAGATAGCATTTAGACTTATATACTGTTTCACAGGGCTTTACAGCCTTCTCTAAGCGGTTTACAGAGTCAGCATATTGCCCCCAACAATCTGGGTCCTCATCAGTGGTGGGGTTCATTTTTTTTTTACTACCGGTTCTGTGGGTGTGGCTTGGTAGGCATGGCAGGGGAAGGATATTGTAAAATCTCCATTCCCTCCCCAGTCCAGAGGAAGGATACTGTAAAATCTCCATTCCCTCCCCAGTCCAGGGGAAGGATACTGTAAGAGCCTGGATAGCTCTGCAGACTAAGCACTGTAATTTAACACCAGCTGTCTGCAATTAAAGTAAGTTCGAATCTCGCCAGGCTCAAGGTCGACTCAGCCTTCCATCCTTTCTAAGGTAGGTAAATTGAGGACCCAGTTGTGGGGGCAATAAGCTGACTTTGTATAAAATATACAAAAGTATGAAGGCTATTGCTTAATGCACTGTAAGCCGCCCTGAGTCTCCGGAGAAGGGCGGCATATAAATCAAATAAAAATAAATAAATAAATAAATAAATAATCTCCATTCCCTCCTCACTCCAGAGGAAGGATACTGTAAAATCTCCATTCCCTCCCCAGTCCAGGGGAAGGATACTGTAAAATCTCCATTCCCTCCCCAGTCCAGGGGAAGGTTACTGCAAAATCCCCATTTCCTCCCAATCACCTGGGACTTGGGAGGCAGAGAACAGATGGGGACGGGGCCAGTCAGAGGTGGTATTTACCAGTTCTCCGAATTACTCAAAATTTCCGCTACCGGTTCTCCAGAACTGCTCAGAATCTGCTGAATACCATCTCTGGTCCTCATTTTACCCACCTCGGAAGCATGGAAGGCTGAGTCAACCTTGAAATTGATGTAAGCTTTTCAAAATAGTCTGGACAAGAAGCACACCCAGGAATGCTAACTCTGTATTTATTGTAAGGTTACATGAACAGAATCTTGCAATACGCCAATTTGGTAGACTAAGCAGGAATGATACGTGGGAATCAACCTTAGGAGACAGGAGAAAGAGCCATAGATAAGACAATGGTCAGATAAGGGACAACGTAGCCCAGGGAAGGTATTAGGACGTGGCAAACCTCTCAAAAGGAACTCTCCGTCTAGTTTCTTGGGCTGTAAAGGAGAAGATGGATTTTCAAACTTGCAAGAATCTGTTCCTGCAACCTTACAATAAAATTAGAGTTGATACTTAACGGATGAGCTTCCTGCCTGGAGGACTACCTACCTCGCAAGGCTGACAAAGAGTCTCTCTGTGTTTGTGTGTCAATGAATCCACAACCCACCCAGCTCAGCAAAGAAATAAGACTGCTTTCCTCTTTGGTTTTTGATTTATGCCTGTTAAGAGTCTAACCTTAAGATGTAGAGTGGTTGGCTGAATGTAATTTAGGGTGTATTTTGCAACGTCAAATGTGACGTTGGATCCATTCAAGGCATGTCGGGTGCCTAGGAAACCGGATCTAAGAAGCCTTGGTAGTACAGTGGTCTAAAGCACCCTGTTATTAAGACCAGCTGCCTGCAATTACTGCAGGTTCGAATCTCACCAGGCTCAAGGTTGACTCAGCCTTCCATCCTTTCTAAGGTGGGTAAAATGAGGACCCAGTTTGTGGGGGCAATAAGCTGACTTTGTATAAATATACAAAAGGATGAAGGCTATTGCTTAACGCATTGTAAGCCGCCCTGAGTCTCCGGAGAAGGGCGGCATATAAATAAATAAATAAAAAAAAAAGGAATCTTCTTATTCACATAAGAAGAAAACGAATCTTACAGTTTTCCTCCAAAAAAAAAAATAAAAAAATAAAAAAATGAAAGATTGCAAATGCACGACGTGCAAATGTGACAGTTAACATGTTATGAATTCTTTTGATTTTCAAAATACATCCACCCCAATACTGGTAAACCATCTGTCACACAAGTCCACATTTCAGGATAGTAAATGTTGGTCCCTTTGCCATTTTTTTTTCTTTTTAGAAAAAAAACCCCCCTTTTTTCAAGCATATTCAAGGGTATCTTGCCTGCCAAAATACTCCAGCTGCAAAGAGCACTTCAAAAACAACTTCCCTTGAATCAGGGAAGTTGTGCGAAGCTACAAAGTCAAAACCTGACTTTGGCTAAATGCCACACACTTCATAAATGCCCGCCAAGTTATCTTGGACAATATCCGGTTGATGAATGATCCTTTCCTTTTCCAGAACATTATGCCAACAAGCTCTTTGTAAGAAGGGTGAGGGAGAGTTTGGGGGTAAAACGGAGGCTTTACAAGATCCCAAGTCCAAGTTAGAAAAATTCCACTTAAAACCCAAGAAGCTTTTTTTTTTTTAATTGATGGTGACACAACAGAGTCTCTTTCCCTTTGCTTTGAATCTTAAATCTCACTCTCAAAAAAAGTTGTTTTTGGGAGCAGTTTCCTCCTAGCAGATTATTTTATCACTGCTTTGGAAAGGAAAAGTGTTTTGGAGTTCAACAGTTTCACACCAAATAATGAAGGTTAATTATTTTGTTTGCTTCCTGGTGAGTTTAGGGATACGCCCTGCAAATCGTGAACAATACACACACGAAACCACAAAGTTCTTCTCCAAATCAGTTCTCCAAATCTTGTTCTTGGCTACTGTTTGGCTTAACAAGTTCCTGAATATTATTATTATTATTATTATTATTATTATTATTATTATTATTATTATTTAATCTTTAGTGAGATTCACAGCCTTTGAGGCTGGTTAATAGCTCAGCAGCTCGAGTCCTAACCAAGGACCTAGGAACTGTTAAGGTATCGTCGGAGGATGTAAGCTGTTCTGAGTAAGGTGGTTTTTTGTAGAGTCAAAATGTTCAAGTCCAGTAAATTTAGAATTTCTAAATAGCGGGGTAGCCCTTTGGGGATTGCTCCAAGGGCTCCAATTACAATCGGGACAACACACGATTTCTTTTTCCACAGTCGCTCAACTTCAATTTGCAAATCTCGGTACTTTGTGATTTTTTCTTGCTGCTTATCTTCAATCCATGCATCACCAGGTATTGCAATGTCAATGAACCATCCTTTTTTCTTTTCAACTATTGTTATGTCAGGTGTGTCAGGTGTGTTGTGGACCAAGTGCCTGTCAGTCTGAATCCTAAAGTCTTATTTTTATTTTTATTTTTATTATTTTGTCAACCCGTAGGTGGCCAAAGTGGAATATGTTAGAAGAAAACCCAAATTAAAGGAAGTTCTGGTGAAGTTAGAAGAGCATATGGAATGCACTTGTACAATGTCAAATTCCAATCCAGATTTTCGAGAAGAAGAAACAGGTAGGTTGGAGTAGATTAAGAGACTGGAATTGATGGTGTTGGATGTGTTTTTTTGACGTTCCCCAGGGCTCTCGAGCATTAAACATCTGGAAATGAGAAACATGCTTGTGATAACCACAGCGATGGAAGAGAGTTCATATTGCTTAAATTTACACGTTATGAATTTCAGCATGGAGGATATGTCTTTTTCAAGACTAATAAGTCTTGCGCTCAATTCTGGGCCTTTTGAGAAGGATTTAGACAAGCTAAAATGGACACCGAAAAGATGGATAGGGATGGGGAATTCCTTCATCTTTTCAAGGAAAGATGAAGGAATTGGGGCATAAGTATGTAGAATTTGGGTTTGGTGTTCTCTTAGTGGTGACCCATAGATTTGAGGGATGGGGAGGAGCTGGTATTTAATTATTTTTTAATATATTAATTGATATTAAAAACAGTGGAGGATGGGTTGGTATTTGCCTTCTCTTTCTTTTTGTTGTTCCGTTACGATTACTAGTATTATTTCTCATGTGCCTTATAAATTTTATAACGTTTTGGGCAGATTAGTTTCTGATGAAGCATTAAAATTGACTCCCGATCTTTTTCTTTCGAGAGTAGAGTCAAACCCAACTGAGATATATCAGATAAAATAACTTTAAATCCATTTATTTGCATGTCAGGAGGATTAAAATTAACCCCTGGGATTATCTGATATTAACTGCAGATAACCATGGGGTGCATATTTCATCCCACACTTAGGATTGCACATCATGAATCTTAGCATGGCAGATATATCTTCTCTAAAGCTTGTAAGTCTTGTGGTCAATTTTGGACCCTTTGAGAAGGATTTAGACAAAACTGAACGGACACCAAAAAGACAGATAGGGGATGGGGAAATTAAACTTTTCAAGGAAAGATGAAGGAAATGGCACAAGAAGGTAGAGTTTCGATTTGATGTCCTCTCAGTGGTGTCCCATAGATGAAGACTATGACTTGTTTGCCGTGGTCCTTGAAGGGGAACATGGAATGCTGGCTCTAAGAATTGCCCAAATTCCATCTGGATCAGTGGTGAAATCCAATTTTTTTTTACTACCGGTTCTGTGGGCGTGGCTTGGTGGGCATGGCAGGGGAAGGATACTGCAAAATCCCCATTCCCTCCCCACTCCTGGGGGAAGGATACTGCGAAATCTCCATTCCCTCCCCACTCCTGGGGGAAGGATACTGCGAAATCTCCATTCCCACCCCACTCCAGGAGAAGGATACTGCAAAATCTCCATTCCCACCCCACTCCAGGAGGAGGAAACCGGAAAATCCCCATTCCCACCCCACTCCAGGGGAAGGATACTGCAAAACCCCCATTCCCTCCCTACTCCTGGGGGAAGGATACTGCAAAACCCCCATTTCCTCCCCACTCCTGGGGGAAGGATACTGCAAAACCCCCATTCCCTCCCCACTCCAAGGAAAGGATATTGCAAAATCTCCATTCCCACCCCATTCTGGGACCAGCCAGAGGTGTTATTTGCCGGTTCGCTGAACTACTCAAAATTTCCGCTACCAGTTCTCCAGAACCTGCTGGATTTCATGCCTGATCTGGATGTTAGGAAAATCCTTCTAATAGCAAGAACGGACCAACAGTGAACCCTGTAGAGAGGTGATATCCTCTCCTTCATCGGATATATTAATTTGAATTTCTACACGAAGCGAGTTGCTAAGGACCTCATTAGACCCTTTTAAACTTTGTGGTTCTGATCAGCGTGTTATTCTGTAAAAATCTTCAATTCGTTGCAGTGGTTCTTCTCTGAGAACAGTTTCTTTTATTCCTTTGCTTCCATAAATGCATGCCCTTCGTGGCTCATTTGTTCAATATACCAATGCTGCCATTATGTCAACAGGCAGACGTAAGAAAAAAGGTAAAAAACGACGGAAATTGTTAAAACCCTCCTTAAAATGGAGCCCATGACCAGGTACGAGCCATATATGGAAACTGCCTTTAAGATCACAACCAATAGAAAATAAAAAATAAAAAATTGGGCTATTATTCTTCCCATATTTGATCATTATTTTAAGATTTTGGGCGTTGGCTGTTGCCGGGAGCGATCCAGCAATCAAATGTGATTGGCTAAACTCAGCTTTTCTCTTTAAAGCTACCTCTGCAGACGCTTCATTCTGAAGTTGCTATCCTTGGTGCTTTAAAAATGATTGATTTGGAGGCTAATCAATGCGGATTCGTAATTATTGTTGATTTCAAAGGTATCAGGTTGTTCGCGAGAACTCTACGGATGGATGTCCATTTTTCTTTTGCTGGAATTTTTTTTTTTTGCAGTGGCTAATTTGCTGGCTGGAGGTTTTTAAGTAATTCTTTTAACCAAAAGAAAGCTAGGTAGGAAACTGACATGCCACAGAATAAAGCCACAGTCTTGGGAAGATGTAATCATTTATAAAAATGGGCCTCACCAATAGGGCTCCATCCCTAATTCGAAAAAATAAAGATCGCTAATGAATGTTACTATCAGGGTTCTGAGAGGGTTACTCAGCGAGGGCCCATTTCCCTAAAATATGGGCATAATTCTAAATGGGAGTTGTTGAACAGGGGTCCCCAACCTTTCGGACCTCAGGGATCACTTAATTCATAATTTTAAATCCCATAGACCACTAATATCTTCTGCCTAATGACCGGCTGGGTGGGCGTGGCAAGGCGGACATGTGACTGGGTGGGCACGGCCAACTCGATGGCCAACTCAATGTCAATCACATCAAGGAGCACCTCGCTGGCCTCTACTCACCCTTTTCCTGCCAGCCACTCCTCGTCTCCCTGCCCGGGCTCCTTAGGGCCCCAACAGGGGAGCTAAGCAGCCACTATGAGAAAACAGCTGGCTCAGTTCAAATTGGATCTGACCGAGAAGGAGGCTCAGCAGAAGCACCTCACTGAGGACTAGGAGCATAGGGTTTCCAAGCAGAGGGAAGACCTGCAGGAGTGCAAGGCCAGGTACTGGCTCCTGGAGACTAATTTTTCTGCGGATCACCAAAATTTTCTCACGGACCACCAGTTGGTGACCGCTGTCTTAGAAGACTCAGTGGGGTAACCTTCTGATTTGGAAACATTTTTGGCCCTCAAGACAGGAAGTTCATGAGATGCCCTCAACATTTCAAATCCATCCCATTCCCCCCCCCTCTCTGCCTCATCATCTGGCCCTCCAACCTTAGGATGGTCTTCCGATTTTAATTCTCAAGTCAGATGAATGAAGTTGCCAGCTTTATGAGCAACTTATATTTGGAGCATGGAAAAGGGGGAGACAGACAGACGGACCCAGAATTGATGGATAGAAATCTCTTTTTTCTAGAGATTTGGGAAGGTTTTTATATTTGAGGTCCAGATGATGAGGTAGAGAGAAGGGGGTAGAGATAAATCTTTAGCCCGATTTATGATCTCCAGCAAATAATGATTAGATTCAATGATTCTTTAATTACGGACGTCTTTTTTCTTTCTTTTTTTTTTCTTTTACAGATGTCAGGTGAAAATAAGCTAGAAAAGATTTCTTTCCGGGACTCGAATGTGCAGGATCTGTTACATTCCTGAACCTACGCTGTATGGTGCTTTCTGGATAAATACTTCACTCATCTTCCTATCCGGGGTCGGGGGGGAAAACTGGTTGAGAGAGAGAGAGAGAGAGAGAGAGAGAAAGAGAGAGAGAGAGAGAGAGAAAGAGAGAGAAAAGGGGGGGAGGGAGAGATAAAGACACAACCACACACACAGACACACACACCCACTTCACCAGAACACACAAGGGACAAATGTATAGTTGTTTAAATATGACATCGCAGGAAGTATTGTAGCCGTCTGCAAAATAATACGACGTTTCCCTATCCATGGCATCGAAAAATGGTGATGTGAATAGAACGAGAAGAGGACGAACAACAAGTGGACAGCAGACTTCCTAAAAAAAAACTGTCAATGGTGCTTTTATTTTATTCCCCTCTTGTCCGTTTTATTTTTTTCCTCGAGAAATGCGCCTGAGGCCAAGATGCTGACGGACGGATTCAAGATGGAGTTTGGAGGCACACACACAAACACAAATGCACACACACACACAAAAACAAACAACGGCAACAACGATGACAAACCATCAAGAACAGGAATGTATCAAATGCCAGGGCGGAATCTAGAGTGGGTTTTTTTAATTTTATTTTTAATTTTCTTTTTCTTTTTTTTTTTTTTAATTTTTGGCTTGGCGGTGATTTAAAAGCCTATTAAAAAAAAATCCATCTGGGGCGCCTTAAGTATTTGTTTTATTTTGGGTTGTGTTTTTTGTTTCGTTTTTTTACACCCTCAAGTTATTGAGCTCTTCTTTTTATTCTTTTGCCTAGCATTTTATTATCTCTCTCTTTTTATTTTTTATTTTTTTGGACTACATTTACCAATAATCCGATATAAGAGAGACTGGTGTAGCGGCAGTGAAATGGGATCATGTGAGATTATGGCATTTTTATTTCTCCTAGCGGGGTGGGGTGGGGCGCAGACTAATGAAATGTATTAAAATAAAAATGGTATACCTATGCATAATTTTCTAAATGTTTCTTGGTTTGTCTTACCCTTTTTCCTTTCTCCCCGGCCTCTTCCTTTTCCACAAATATATTATTTAAATCAGGTGTTTGGGGTTTCCCAACCCACCCACCCCATTTCCCTCTTCAAAGAGTTGCCGAAGAATTAGCAACATGGTGGACAGGCTTTATTGGATAGTCTCGTGGCCGCCATCTTTATTTGGAGAATATAGTCACGGAAGATGGACAAACAATTCAGTTAGAACAATTAATCAGTGGATTAATCAGTGTTTGGGGTTCCCTCCCCCACTTTCCTCTTCAAAGAATTGCCGAAGAATTAACAACATGGTGGACAGGCTTCATTGGATAGTCTTGTGGCCGCCATCTTTTCTTGGGAGAGTATAGTCACGGAAGATGGACAAACAATTCAGTTAGAACAATTAATCAGTGGAACAGCTTGTCCCCTGAAGTTGTGGAGTCTCCAACACTGGAGTTATTTGTTTATTGTTTTAAAAGAAGAGATTGAAATGGTATATGGCAGGGGTGGGCAACTGTGGCCTTTTTACAACCTGTGGACTTCAACTCCCAGAATTCCTGAGAGAGCTGGCTCAGGAATTCTGGGAGTTGAAGTCCACAGGTTGTAAAAGAGCCACATTTGCCCACCCCTTGTATAGGGTTTCCTGCTTGGGCAGGGGGTTGGATTAGAAGACCTCCCAGGTCTCTTATTCTGTTATATTCTGTTAACTGGAAAGGATTGGTTGTACTATTGATCATGTTTACTTAAATTTCATAGCTTGAGAACGGAGCCCAATCGGGAGGAAGATTATTGGACGAATAATGCTAACTCTTACCTAATTCTAGAGAACGCCAAGGTGTGTCTTCAAATAAACTCTTAATTCTCAACGGGGTGCAGAGGTTCCATCAATTCCTTGTTTTTTTCTTGAAGATACAGAGTTGGAGAATAATTTTTAAGAATGTTGACAATGTTGGGTTACGCGAGCTTTAGGTTATATGCAAGTCAAACCAAACCAAACCTTTTTTTTTTTTAAAAAAAAACGTATATTTGAGTCGTCCACAAATATTATTGTGGAAAACCAGCTTTTGTCTGTTTCAGTGGTGTGAGATGTACAAAATTCTTCTTGTTACTCATACTGTATTGATATCGCTGTGGCCTGGAACAACCTTGCTGGAAAACATAAAATTCTTTATTTTTGGTATTAAACAAAGAGAAAAAAAAATTGCTTTATGTGTATTCAAAAAATAATAAGTGTTTCCTTTTTTTGGGGAGGAGGGGTTAAAGGTGATGTTTGTATTTTTTTAAATCTAAAATTAATGGTTTTCTATACCCAAGAAATCCTGTTTTGTTTTCTTGAGCCAGAATATTAAAAAAAAACAAAAAAGTGAATGAGATTGGGATATGTATTTTATGGACGTATTTTTCTAGCAGCGATAGCTTATCTCATTTAAAGTATATTTATTTTCGTTAGGAGAAGGAGAAAAGATTTAAGTATGGTGTCCTATATTTCCAAAGGAGAAATGGGTTGGTTGTACGTGAGAATGTCTGATCCAATGGGAGTGGATCTTCCTTGGCCTGCTTTCCACCACCATTGGTAGAGATGCTTCCATTGAGGACAGAAATGGGATGAAGTCTTAGTTCAGTTCAATGGGCCTCGAGTTCCTTTCTCGTTGATTTTGGCTCAGATCACTCAAGATCAACTTTCCTCTGAAAATATAGGACTAAATAATATGAGTTTATGATAGCTTTCCATCTTCTTTTTAATTGACTGGATGACCTTCCTTGACTTGGGTTATTGTGTCTGGCACTTTAGAGAGGAAACCTCTGTAGGGGTTCTTTTGTTAGACCTTTTCAGCTAAAATAGCTTCAGAGTTTGATGAGGTTGGGCGAAAGGGTTGCTCATGAACATTGCAGTGATGGAGAGGGAAGGAGAAAGAGGTTTTTTTGACCAGGAATTCATGATAGAACAAGACCTTTCTCTTAGTAGCTACCATCATGGTTGGGCAGATGACAGAAGAAGTCCATGGTCCATGAGAGCATGTTTCTAGGAGTTAACCATAGGGGACTTTGGACCATTCCAGGACCCAGGAATAATAAAAGATGTTTAATTGCAGACTTCCTGTGGAATAGGACCTATTGCCAGCGTTCCAGAAAACCCCCCAACTCCAAGTAAAAACTCTGAAGCAAGCATTTTTCAAAGTTCTATTTACTAGAATAGGTAAATTGGCACATCTGGGAAAACCTGAATCTGAGAGGTCCAGGTTTTCCCTCAGTAAATCAAAACCCCCAAAACCATCCCCTCACTCCTCAGTCGATCACATGCTCCAATCACCATCCGTCCCATCTCGAGACATCACTCCGATCACTCCTTCTCCAGATGCAGGATCACCCTGACCTTGACCGACAGGAAGAATGCTATTATGTCTAAAGACAACCCCTCTACTAAATCTCCCCTCCTACTTTCCCACACATGAGAAGGTGGCAGCATGGAAGCTTCTGGCCTAATATGGCTTCCAAAGCTGACACCTACATTATACAGTAAATGTTGACATCCTTTCTCATAACCATCGGAATCCTAAACTTAACTTCCCTATCTCCTTTTTCGTACTGGAGAAGGCTGAGAAATAAGCAGAACCAGTATAGGATGATGCTTCTCAGAGTTTGACTTGATCTTGGGAATCTGGAACAAAGTCCCCAGCCATCCATGAAGCTCAGAGTCTGGTTTATGACCCATCTTTCTTTCTCTCTCAATCCAGTCTACCTCGTGGGGATAAAATGAAAGGAGATGATGACCCTTTAGACCCAGAGGTCTTCAAATTTGACAGCTTTAAGACTTATGGACTTCAACTCCCAGAATTCTCCTGGGAGTTGAAGTCCACAAGTCTTAAAGCTGCCAAGTTTGAAGACCTCTGCTTTAGACTCTTCTTGAGGAAAGTCAATGAATAAAAGCTGAATTAAACCTGGAGAGTTGAGATTTGAGATGCCTAGAATAGTCAGAGACCCGTAGAAAACTCAGACCTTCCCATTATTGCAAAGGGGGCTATGGAGAACTCAGATAGGTAATTATACATTGGAGTTGTGTTTTTCTCTTTCCCTCCTGCTCTTGCGTAACTTTGTTATCATTGCATTGGTTGTCCAAAATCTTACCAAAACAGTTCCAAAGAAACGGTCACCACCATGTCCCATCACCTATGTCTGAATGGAGGGACCTGTACTGCAGATAATGTTTCTGTTTCCAGCGTGTGTGTTCAGACGTGGATGTGTTTTTATGTGTCCAGTGTTAAACAAACTCTGTGTCCCTCCGTGGAACGCAATATGACTGACGTTACCTTGATTTTATTCTTGATCAACGTTGGATTTGGTTGCTGGTTTTAGTTATTTTTTTTCCTCTCTCGGTGTTAAAATTGATCAAACAAACTCACGTTTATTAAAGTCATTTGAATGAAAAGGAGGTTTTCCTTTTGACCATTACTTAAGACTTCAAAGTCCCATTCATTCAAAATCTGGACGTGTTGAGAGAGGAAAATACCTTACTAAAAATATGTGTGGGTGTTTTCCTATGAGTGTAACTCTCGGTGTTCTGTATGTGCTATGTGAACAAGGCAAAACTGTATAAAAATGAATTTATATATTTATGGTTGAAATGGTGCTGTTGCTTTGAACTTGATTTCGCTGCCCTCGAAACATAACAAAACAAAATTTTAACATGCCACACATTCATTCATTTAAAAAAAAAAAAATACAGGAGGCCAAAGATTTAGAAAGATACCAATTTCTTCCTCATGAAACTTGAAATCAGATTGAGATTGCCCGTAGTTTTATAGTAGTAAAGTCCATTGATTCTGGTTGGGGGGGAAGGAAGGAAGGAAGGAAGGAAGGAAGAAAAGGAAGGAAGGAAGGAAGGAAGGAAGGAAGGAGAAAAAGAAGGGAAGGGGAAAGAAGGAAGGAAGGGGAAAAAGGGAAGGGGAAAAGAAGGAAGGAAGGAGACAAGGAAGGGGAGAAGGAAGGAATGGAGGAAGGAAGGAAGAGAAGAGGGAAGGAACAGAGGAAGGAAGGAAGGAAAAAAGGAAGGAAGAGGAGAAGGAAGGAGACAAGGGAGGAAGGGGAGAAGGAAGGAATGGAAGAAGGAAGGAATGGAAGAAGGAAGGAGGAAGGAAGGAACAGAGGAAGGAAGGAACAGAGGAAGGAAGGGAGAGAGGAAGGGAGGAAGGGAGAAAAGAAAGGATCCTGTGATCTCCCATTAGAAAGGATCACTGTGAACATCAGTGACTCATTCAGAACTGTCTTAATTGTGAAAAACTAACCAATGGGAAAATCTAGGTAGATTCATATAAGATCTTGTCACTGCCCCTTCAGATCAATTCCAGACCTGGCTGGGCAATTCTGGGAGTTGAAGTCCACACATCTTAAATGGAGATCCTCAATCATCCAGGTCATGATTGTCCCAGCATTTGGGCCTGGACTCCCTTGGGTTTTTCTTTTCTTTTCTTCGAAAACCAAGTTCTGGAGAAGCTTCTTGGATGAGAAGCGAAATGTTTCCGAAGAGAAACAACAACAAGGAAGTCCAGTTGCCTTTTGGGAAAAGCGTCTCGATGGGACACGCATCTTATAGCTTATCAAGGTTGAGAAACTCTGGTTCTACGTAAGGCAACAGCCATGCCGACACCTTTGGCTGCCCCTTCCTTCCCCCAAGCAAAACCAGGGTTAGCTTTTTAGCTGAAGAAGAACCCAACTCAAAACACTGAACAAAACGAAACCGATGCCCTCTTTAACTCAAGAAGACTTTCCCTGATAAAAATAAACCTAAGTCTTTTGTTATCGGTCCTTTCGCTCAATTAGTTGGGAGACCAATTTTGCATATTGCTTTGTTTGGTTTCCCCGGCTGGAACGAAAGTCTATACTTGTACATCTGGCATGGCTTGTGTGAAATAAGAATTCAGTTCCCAGGAGCCCGGCTGGGCCAGGCCCGGAGGTCTCATATTACGATGCATTCTACAAATTTTGGCCAGCTCTGCGCTTCTTGATAATTTCACGCAATGCTCAGGGGATTGAGGGGATTCGTGCGTTCGGCGATAGAGTGGTTCTCACAGTGAGGATTGTTGCCTGAGATCCTTTACTCCTTCTCTTGCCCCTCTCACCCTCAACCCCCACTCCACCCCCAAAAAAATTGGGTTGGGCAGCATTGGCTTTCTCATTGCGATGCTGCCAAGAAGGAAGGACACGTTCAAAAATATGTTTGTTGGGTTTTTTTTTAACTGGAATTTGTGGACGCCCCAGAAATATGCAACTTGTCCATGCTTATGGACACCTAAGGCAAAGCCTGAGTGTCTTTATGTCCAGATGTCATCAGACTTGGGGGTACCCATCATCCTAGTCCATTATTGATGACTGTTGATGGGACATCTGGACAGCTTGCAATGTTACCTTGGCAAAGTCTTAAAAACACCTTGGTGAAGGACACAGGGGTGTCCTTAGTTATATTTTTTTCTTCTGTCAAGCATGGAAAAATCCAGACTTAAGCTCTCAAATTGGTCTTGGGAATTTGGTACGAAGTCCTCACCCAACCATGAAGCTCACAGTCTGGCTAGGACCTCATCGAGCTGCTGAGCTATTAACCAGCCTCAAAGGCTGTGAATCTCACCAAAGATTAAATAATAATAATAATAATAATAATAATAATAATAATAATAATAGAATTATAATCTTTAGGACTTCCAATAATTGATACCTCACATCCTCAGCTGAGTTATTTTGTTCCAGTTCCCTCACCCAGGGCAGTTTTTAGAAAGTTGAATGAACTTTCCAAATGATTAAGCTGGCTGCCAGTAAAAGAAATTACATTCTTTTGCAAATATGGACAGCGTGAGATGGAATGGGGGAAAAAAAAAATAGACATGCTTTATCAGAACTTGCAGCTGCCTTCAGGTAATTAGAATTTCACGGTCTCGGCGTTGAATATGTGCCATCGGGATTCTACGGTTTTCTTCTCTGGTGTCTGTGAAAACAAGTTTTGTACACAAGTCTCTGTGTCTTAACATGTCTTTCCATATATGGATGGGTCTGTCTGTATCTATCTATCTATCATCTCCATCCATCCATCCATCCATCCATCCAATATCTTACCTACCTACCTACCTAGTCTTTTTCTCTCTGTGTAATCTATTAATCATCTATAGCTCTATCTATCAATCATCACCTATCTACTATCCATCCATCCATCCATCCATCCATCCATCCATCCATCCATCCATCCATCTATCTATCTATCATCTATCTATCTATCTATCTATCTATCTATCTATCTATCATCTATGAAAATTGACTTTTGGTGGCCGTGGCTTACAAGGATAAAAACACAATATAAAAACAATACAACAGCATTAACCCTCATCACGTTGGCAACAACAATCAAACAATCAATTGATGGGCTCCATCCAGTGATGGGTTTCAAATTTTTTTACTACGGGTTCTGTGGGTGTGGCTTGGTGAGTGTGGCTTGGTGGGCATGGCAGGGGAAGGATACTGTAAAATCTCCATTCCCTCCCCAATCCAGGGGAAGGTTACTGCAAAATCCCCATTTCCTCCCAATCAGCTGGGACTTGGGAAGCAGAGAATAGATGGGGGCAAGGCCAGTCAGAATTTTTCTCCGAACTACTCAAAATATCTACTACAGGTTCTCCAGAACTGGTCAGAACCTGCTGAAACCCACCTCTGGCTCCATCTCATTCTGAGATCTCCAGGCCAGTTGGCCAAACCAGGTCATCAGGGCCTTGTGAAAAAGAGTCAAAGTGGGGGTGGGGGCAGTGTTATCTCTACAGGGACAATGTTCCAAAAAGAGGGAGCCACCATGGACAAGGCCCTTCTCCTCAGTCCTGCTAGATGATCTTCTAGATAAGACACTAAATCTTATCTAGTGTCGAAGCTAGATTGGTGCTTTCTTCCAAGACATTACTGGTTGGGCAATGTTGTTTTGGATAATGAGTTCGACACAGGCTACCACAAAGAGTCCTATCCTGAATGGATGTCCATGTTGCCTTGTTGACCAAATAGACTTCATGAAGAAAGCTTGGGTCACCTTCTCTGAAAGAGATGCAGATTGTGACTTAACAACCAATCTTCACACACTTCACACTTATGCCTGTCTCATCTTCCCCACAATCCCATGATTAAAATTTGGGCGCTTGGTTCCATTGCCTTGAGTAGCAATGGAAACTTTGATCCCAGCTGTAGTGAGAAGTCAAAGGACTGCCTGTATGGCGTTTTTTTTTTCACCCACAAAGCAAATCTAACTTTCAAGTTTATGGTCAAGATTTGGCTTCCTTGTTCTATCTCTGAAATAGCTTCTTGCAGGCATCTGTTCTATCCCCCTCCCATCTGTTTTATCTGCAGCTGAACTGCTTGTTTGAGTAAATGGAAGTGGTTTCCATGACTGTCAAACACCCATATTTTGGGGGTGGTGGTGCTGCGGTTAACAGCAGGATTTGCAGCGTGTCTAAAGGAAAATTTTGCAAACGTTCTGAGGCAAGAAATATTTGGGGGTAGAGCCATGATATCTGTCTGTCTGTCTGTCTGTCTGTCTGTCTTTCTACCTACCTACCTACCTACCTACCTACCTACCTACCTACCTACCTAGATCTATCTATCTATCTATCTATCTATCTATCTATCTATCTATCTATCTATCTATCTATCTATCATCTAAAGTGTTTTTTCTATCGAAGCATCTGGTCTACCCCAATATGGGAGGGAGCATACTGCTTCCCTTTCGCCTTTCAGCTCCAATACAGGCAGTTGCTATCACAACAAACTATTTTGTGTTAAATTTATATTTGCTGACAAAGAAATAAAGGGAGACTAGTATAGATCTATTTCAATCTATTTAGTTCTCATCAGCTAGCCAGACCCTTCTGGGATTCGAACTTGGGCTGCTTGCATATTAGGTAGATGTATTAACCTCTGAGCCACAAGTTCTCTTCCCTTTATCAGCTGAGCCTGGGGAGAGATTAAGTGTTTTTTCTGTCAAAGCATCTGGTCTACCCCAATATGGAAGGGAACATACTGCTTCCCTTTTGCCTTTCAGCTCCAATCCAGGAGCCCTCAGGCAGTCGCGACAAACTATTTTGTATCAAATTTATATTCACTGATAAAGAAATAAAGGGAGACTAGCATAGATCTATTTCAAGCTATTTAGCTCTCATCAGCTAGATATACCCTTACTAGCCCAAGATCGAATCCGAGTAAGGGTATGGCTAGCTGATGAGAGCTAAATAGCTTGAAATAGATTTATACTAGTTTCCCTTTATTTTTTAATCAGCGAACATAAATTTGATTATACACACACACACACACACACATATACACACACACATATATATACATATATATAAAGTTTATTGTCATTGTACGTATATACATAGTATACCCATACAACGAAATTCACATAACACCCAGATATTTGCAGCATGCAGAGGGAAAAAATCCCCCCTCAAAAATAGAGCATAGAAATCTGAAGACTTTAATTTCTTTCTTTTTTTAAATAATTTTTAAAAGCACAGAGGTGTCCTGGTGGCCAAAGGCTGGAGGGCTCCCCCTTTCTTCTTCAAATCCCCCAGTATAATTTCCTCTCCTGGAGT